CCTCAATTAATCTTAAATCACTCTCTCAATAAGCAATTAAAGAAAATAGTGCTAAGTGGAGAGTTTCTTTTATTTAGTTAAATCTGAGAAGTTTGAGTGTTCCTGGGGTCCTCCTTGAGATGTGTCATGGGTTGAGAATCCTGTGAATGTGAGTATTCACTATTAGAGGGCTCTGTGGGGTCAAATTTTCATAATCACTATCTTCTGATTCCTCACCACTATCTCCAGCTACTCTTTGGGAAGAAGGACTGTCTGCCCTCTCCTAGGGTACTTAGTTGAGACCTGGTGGACGCACGATTGGAAGAATCCATAGCTTGGAATCAAGGCAGAAAGACACTCCTTTCCATGAGAGAATGACTCAAGGTACTTTCTTGATTGTTTGGGTGAAAATCAGAATAAGAGGGAGGAAGATCAGAGGCCTCTGCATCTCCAAAAGGACTTCTGCTTTCAGCTGCAAACCCAGATTAGGGCATCCAGACCCAGACAAGTGTACATGGTGTGATTTCATTTATATGAATCATATGAAGTTCAAGAACAGGCAAAAATAATCTATAGAGATAACAAAATTGTGAATACCTGGTTTGGGGGTGGAGCATTAGAGAATAGGATAGGGCAAGAGAGAAATGCTCTATATAGTGATTTTAGGCAATGGTTACATGGGAGTATATACACAGGTCACTGAGATACATTTATGATTTGTGCAGTATATTCTTTCTTCTTCTTCTTTTTTTTTTTTTTTTTCAATAGAAGCCTTGGATAGCCCAGGTGAGGACCCTTACTTAAATGCCTCTCATACAGAGAGGATGCCTGGCCTCTATACTCTAGGCTTGGCTGAGGGGAGGTGGGGTGTGCTGAGCTCACCCCCCAGGAAATCCAAGTCAGTTTTTTTTTTTTTTTAACTAAATGATAGCTGTGTACATTAATACAACCATGGGGGTACAGTGTGGTGTTTTCATATACAATTTGAAATATTTCCATCAAACTGTTTAACATAGCCTTTATGTCATTTTCTTAATTATTGTGTTAAGATGTTTATATTCTACTCTTAGAAAGATTCACTTGTACCCTTGTAAGATAAACATAGAAGTGATCCCTCCAATCACCCTCCCTCCACCAATCCCTCCTCCCTTTACCCTCCCCATATTCTTAGGCTATAATTAGGTTATAGCTTTCATATGAAAGGTATAAGTTAGTTTCATAATAGGGCTGTGTACATTGGATACTTTTTCTTCCATTCCTGTGATACTTTGCTAAGAACATTTCCCAGCTCCATCCATGTAAATGTGAAGGAGGTAAAGTCTCCACCTTTCTTTATGGCTGCATAGTATTCCATGGTATATATATACCACAGGCCAGTTTTTGGGGTTTTTTTGAGACAGAGTCTCACGTGTTGCACTTGGTAGAGTGCTATGACGTCATAGCTCACAGCAACCTCAAACTCCTGGGCTTAAGCTATGCTCTTGCCTCAGCCTCCCAAGTAGCTGGGACTACAGGCATCTGCCATAATGCCCAGCTATTTTTAGAGAAGGGGTCTCACTATGGCTCAGGCTGGTTTTGAACCCACGAGTTCAGGCAATCTGCCCGACTTGGGCCTCCCAAGTGCTAGGATTACAGGCGTGAGCCACTGCACCTGGTCTACGTGAGCTATATTCTATATAAATTATACTTAACCTCAATTTGATAGAGCAATATATGTAGGCAAAACCCAAAAGAATCAGCTACAATTAGAATGGTTACTTCTAAGAACCAGAAAATGGGGTGGTGGTAGATTTTTGGTAATAAGCACTATAGAAATTCTCTACTTTAAAATACAAGGGCTATCTGGAAAGAATCTAGCCATGTAGGTCTCTATTTCTCATACTACATGGCTGGATATGTTTCAGACAACCCTTATGTATATGAATTTGTAACTTTAATAAAAAATAAAAGATTATAGGCTTTGGCCTGACTGGGATTCAAATGTCAGCTCCGACACTTACTATCTAGACAGTGGTGGCAAGTTATACTATTTCTCTTGCCCTTGGTGAGAATCAACACTATCTCAAAATCAGGTTAATAGATCCATGTAAAAAATAACTGACCTTGTGCATCTAAAGTACTTATCATAAATTATAAGTACTTGGTTTTCTCTCTACTTGCCATTTTCCTTCAGATGATATTTAAAATTAACTATGCAGACTGTAACTGAGCACCCATTAACTCTATTTACATTTTTTTCCTCTCCCTACTCCAAACACCTCACAGCTCTCTGATCCCATTACTCATTTATTCCATCACACCTTCAGAGGTAACCCACCTATGGGAAGAACACCAGGATTCCCCAACCTACCAGTCGAGTCCCCTTCTCCACTTAACAATTATCTATACCAGGCGTCTTCAAACTACAGCCCACAGGCCGTATGCAGCACACCTAGGACATTTATCCAGCCCACTGGGTGTTTTTGCCGCCACTACCTGTCCTGCTTAGCAGCCGACTCGTCCCTGGGGCCCGCATTCTGGCCCTCCAATGGTCTGAGGACCAGTGAACTGGCCCCATTTCAAAAGTTTGAGGACCCCTGAACTGCAACCTCCTCTTTAGACTTCAGTTTCTTCACCATTAAAAAAAACTTTAAGAACTGAACAAAATAACCTCTAAGAGGCTGGGCATGGTGGCTCACTTGAGCTTGGGGGTTCAAGACCAGTCCCAGCAAGAGTGAAACCTGGTCTTTTTTTTTTTTTTTTTCTGAGACAGAGTCTCAAGTTGTCACCCTCGGTAGAGTACCATGGTGTCACAGCTCACAGCAACCTCAAACTCTTGGGCTTAAGTGATTCTCATGCCTCAGTTTCCCAAGTAGCTGGGATTATACGCACCTGCCCACAATGCCCGACTACTTTGTTGTTGTTGTTGCGGTTGTCATTGTTGTTTTAGCTGGCCTGGGCCGGGGTTGAACTCACCACCTCAGTGTACGTGGCTGGTGCCCTACCCACCGAGCTACAGGTACCGCCAACCTGGTCTCTTCTAAAAATAGAAAAACTAGCCAGGCATTGTGGTGGGCTCCTGCAGTCCCAGCTACTTAGGAGGCTGAAGTAAGAGGACTGCTCAAGCCAAAAATTTGAGGTTGCTGTGAGCTATGATGCCATGACACTCTACTGAGGGCAACAAAATGAGACTGTCTCAAAAGAAAAAAAGAAAGAAAGAACCTCTAAGGTTCTTTCAGCACTAACATTTCATGGTTTCTTTTTTTCTCCTGAAATTTCTATTCCTGTGAAGCCTTTCCCAGATCACCTCACAGCTCTAAACATGTTTGGTGAGGCACGTGATGTTGTCAAACACTAACAGATGGCATGCTGCTTTACAGGAACAGGTTGCGGGAGACGCTATCTTCTCTCATCTCTCCAAATGTCAAGAGCCATGTGGTACAGAGTTAACGCTTCTCCAGTAAGATTGCCTTTGCAGGGCCACATGTACCTCAGCCTGCACTGGAAGTGTTATCTGCTAGGTTCAGGTAAATTCTAAGGCACACCTTCTTTCCTGAGGTAAAATAAGAATTCACATGCAAGCCAAGAAACACAGCACTCCTAGCTGGAATAGGCGCTTACCTGCCCAAAGTGATGAGCCAAGATAATGTCCACAACATTTGTTGTCAAGCCTGAGATCTAAAAAGATAAAAACTCCGTGTCAAGAAGTAACCATACATAAAAATTTACCAAGCTTTCCACTTTATTCTATATATATTATCCCTCAAAAAAACCCTTCCACATTCAGTGTCATACATTTTTATGAGATGGTACTTTCAAAGAAACTTGAGAAAAAGAAG